TATTAGTTAAATTAGAGAAAGGCACTGGAATACTTATAAATAAAAATTATACAAAATACTAATATATTATATTTTAAATAAAAAAAAAGAATAAAAGATTTATTACAGTAGAATATCTTTATATTTCTTTTTATAATATAATTAATATACTTTACTATTTTTACTAGATAGTCTAAAAGAATTATAGCTAAGCAGAATTAAATATCTTTATAATTTATTACAGCTATTATTTCTGTTAATTATTTTATATTTTTATTATATTATTATATTTTTAAATTTAACTCTATCTTATTTTAGTATTTTATTTTAAAAGCCGGAATATTTAAAAATAATATTATATACAGCTACAAATATAAAATAAATTTAAAAACAAGCTATTATAAATATTAAGCAGCTAAAATAATATTCTTAAGAATATACTAAAACAGATATTTATACTTATAATTTAACTAAAGCTTCTATTTTTAAATAGAAAAAAATCTTCTTAAATATTATTATATAATATTAGAACTTATAGTTAAGTTAAATTAGTCTATTTATAATTAATAAAGAAGAATCGCGGCTTATTCCAAAATACTAGCAAATTATTATATCTAGTACTTTTTTTATCTAGTAGCTTATTCTATTTATAAATATCTAAGTCTACCGAAACCTACCGCCTGTAGTTTATCTATATTTAGTATTATTTTTATTTTATAACTTTTATTATTAGTAGTTTAAGCTTATTTTATATCTGTTTTATTTTATATTTATTTTACCTAATATCTGCTTATTAGTTATTTTTTTAACTAATAATTTACTTTACTTATAGTTATTTAAATATATTAATATTTACTACCTGCAGCTTATTTATATACAATATTACTACTATTTAAAGATTTATTCTGCTTATATTTATTTAAACCTGCTAATATTTATTATTTATAACTTATTCATACTTAATATTATTCTTATCTAATAGCTTTTATTATTTATATTTTAAATTTCTTTATTGTTTTGTCTACAATATATCTATACTTATAACTGTTTATACTTAGTATCTATTATTATAAAGTTAAATAATTAAGATATCTAAAAATATAAGCCTAAAGATATATTATATATAGCTGTTTAATTTAATTATATACTTATAATAATTAAAACAGCCAGTTTCTTTAGACTTGTATAATTAATATTAATTTTTAATAGTTATAAGTTTATTTATAAATAGTTATAGATATTGCTGTTATACAGACAGAGAAAATTTAAATAAATATAATTAAAAAATTTAAAATAACCGGATACTAATATATAAACTAATAATAATATTATCTATTAAAGTATTTAATACTATAACTACTATTATTACAGCTAGTAAGTATAAACTATTTAAGATTTATCTAAATAATAAAAATTAATTTAAAAATAAAAACTAGTATTTATTTTTTATTATTACTTTTTAATATAATTGTTTAGAGGGGTTTTAAATATATTTTAAATAAAAGTTTTAAAGACTTTATTAGAGATTTTTTAAAAATAAAAAAATTAAATAAAATTATAATAATTTAACTATTATAATTTGCGTGCCTGCTGTACAGTATTCTAAAAATTTAAATATCTAGATTTTTAAAAAATTAAAAAATAATATTTTCTGATTTAGTATAGTCTGGATCTAGAAATATATATATTCTATATTTTTTCGGCCAGTTAAGCTCTAATTTTATAAAACTATATTTAGACATACTTTAAGTTTAGAAATAGATGTTTGCAGTTAAAAAACTATAATAAAAAAACTCTGATTTTAGATTCTATAATCCAAATTAATTAATTAAAAGCTATATTCTAAAGACTACAGACGTAGATCTATTTTAGATTTATATTTATAGTTTTAAGTCTGCTATTATCTTTAATCTATTAATTAACAGTCTGTAAGACTAAGTAATTATAGAAGATTACAGCTCTTCTAACTACAGTCTATAAAGATTTTATTCTAACTTTTTTTAACTAACTATTATTTTTTATTAATATTAATCTGTACTCGGTTATTTATAAGTAATATATTATTAAAAAGAGTTAAAAGTTTTTCTATCTGATGCTAGAATACTTAATTATATTATTAATTTGTCTACCGGACAAGCTCCGTTCAGTTTAAAGTAATACTAAATAACAAATATTTTTGATTAATTTAGTGTAAACTAAAATTAATAGTATATATTAAAACTAAAGAATTAGAAGTTATATTAGGCTTTTATTAGTCTAATTCGCTGTTACTGCAAGCAACGCGCCCAAAAGAGATTATAGAAAAGATTATAATTCTAATAATTTGTTTTTTTTTTAGTTTTTTTAAACTGTCTTCTAGTTTGCGCAAGTCTTTTTAGTATGTATATAAAACCATTAGAAGCACTTAATAAATTATTACCAGATTTTAATCTTAGCGTGTTGTCGATAGATTTAAGATTACTATATTTATAGATTAGTATATTATTTAAATTATATACTTAATTTAAGTATATATCTAGGTGTGATTGGAAGCTAATTATTCTATTATTTTAATTTAATTAAGAATATACCGACTTTACTGTACAACAATCTTTTTATATTAAGTCCACGACAGCTTTTGTATTCCGAAGATATTTAAGATTCTTATTTTTAAATACCAGTAAAGAACTATTATATAGAAAAGTATTTTTTCTATCGAAGAGAATCTAATAAGCTGTCTTTATATTAAACTATTTTAATATATTATATATAATGGTTGTGTTTCTAGGCCAAGTATAATCAGCCAAATTCTAATTTTCTTTGTATTTATAAGATATATTTTCTTCGATTATTTATAGTGCTCTGTAAGAATAGATCTTTATAGAATCTTTTAATATAATAAGTTTTGATTTTTTAATAATAGCTAAATAGGTCTGACTAGCTTTTCTTGCTATTTTAGGCTTTCCGAAGGCTGTATATCTTTTAATCTACTTTTTTAAGGGCTAATAGTATTCCGGTTTGCAGAAATGATTGTTATAACTGCCGAACTGGTGTTTTATTATTTATTCTGTTTAAGTACTAAAAAATTTCCTGATAAGAAGCTGTTTCTAAATTAATCTAAAAGTAAAGTTTGGATAAAAAGAGTGGAAGAGAAAAAGAATATACTTTATAGAACTAATAATTTGAATATATATCTCTAATAATTATTTATAATTCTTTTGCTTTTTTATTTTTTCTGTTGTCTAGTTATTATAGGGTCCTTTTTTAAATAAGATCAGCTGAAATAAAATATTATGAATATTTTATTTTTTTTATTTTACGGCCTGATTACTGTAGTTTTTTTGATCAGCTGCGGCCGGTGGACTAAACAAACTTAAATAATCTATATTATTCTATTATCTAATATAGCAGTTCTATAAGTTTTTATAGTATGCTTATACGGAAGATATTAGACTGTTCGGTACAATATATCTCTAGAAGTTTTGTAGCTATATAGTAGAAGAATAAGACTAATCTATATATATAAGAAAAATATAGTCGGTATTTTATATGTTTATTATAGCTAAATCTATTTTATTGTTGATTTAATATCTTACAGAAGTCATTTAATATAAATTTATAATACTGGACTATACTTTAGCAGCAGGAAAGTAGGCAGAAATTTAGAAAAAACAATAGTAATATTAAAAAAATATAAAAAAAAATTAACAGTAAGTTAAAAAGTAATTAAGATTAAAAAGAGATAAAAAATAAAAAAGTTAAAAAAAAGTCGAAGAGAAGTTATTTAGGATTAAGACATTATAATAAATAATAAACTAGTATAAAGCGCGACCGAATAGAATCAGAATTACCAGATATAAGCTAATAATAGTATTATTTAGAAATAGTTTTTTTTAGTATACTACTAAATCTTTGAATTTAGCCTGTAAAACGCGCTGTTACATATAAATAGCAGGAAATAAATAGAGATAAGTTATAATTAATAATACTACTTTTAAGTATTAACTATTAATAATTTTATAATTTTTAGTTAGTTATAAAACTATTATTATTTTTCAGGTAAGCTGCCGGTGCTTATAAAATATTATTATATTAATCTTATTAGATTACTATAATTTGTCTAAACAGCTATAATCTGTTATAGAAGATGCTTATAATATATTCTAATTATTCTTACTAATCTATTATTTATGTGACTATAGTTATTTATTAAAAATTATCGATAAATAATACAGTAAGAAATAAAATAGAAAATCATATTATTATATCTATTTAAAACTAAAGTTATAAGATTTTAATAAGACTATAGATATTCTACTTTTTTAAACTTATAGTTCTGATATCTGCAATCTTATATTCATCGCGGTGCCAGATAGTAATAATACTTATTAGACTCGGTATTTAAAAATAAGTTCTTTTTAAGTTACTTATTTTAACTTAAAGTAGTAACTTATCTACAGCTTATTAATCTCTATTTTAATTAGAAAGTTAAAGATATAAACTAATTACTTTTTAAATAGCTGCTACTAGCTATTAGAATTAAAAATATAGATTTAGCCTGTATTTTTTAGTTAAATTAGAAAAAAAATATCTGTATTATATTTATAATAGTATTTAAATATACTAAATATTAATCGGAGTTTTTGCTGTAACTGTTACTGATGCTTTAACCTGGAGTTATCCGAATATTATTTATAGATTATTTTAATATTTACTATCTTACTGGACCCTAACAACCAAGCAAAAAAAAGAAATTTAACTATTATAATTTTGATTTAATAAAATATCTATTTTATATAGATTTATTAAGTTTTTTATATTTATTTTTAGCTTATCCAGTTACTCTGCTTATAAGTAAGTTAAAGCTACAGTATAAGAGTATATAAAGTATAAAAAAAAAATAAAAAAATTCTTTATTAAAATTAATAAATATAAGTATTTTATTTCTGGCTGGTAATTAAGGGTGAGTAAGACAATCGAAAATAATTATAAATAAATATATAATTAAAGTAAGTTTCTATTTTCCGGTTTGTTTTTAATCTTTAGTCTATATCTATTTTCCAGTCTGTATCTATTTTTTGGTTTGTGTCTACTCTTTGGTCTGTGTCTATTTTTTAATTTGTATTTACTTTATAGTTTGTTTTTATTTTTTAGTCTGTTTTAACTCTATAGTCTGTTTTTATTTTTTAGTCTATTTTTATATTACAGTCTATTCCTGCTTTTTAGTCTATATCTACTTTTTAGTCTGCATCTACTTTTTGGTCTGTATTTATTTTTTAATTTATATTTATTTTATAATCTATTTCTACTCTCCAGTCTGTTCTAACTCTATAGTCTGTTTTTATTTTTTAGTCTATTTTTATATTATAGTCTATTTCTGCTCTCCAGTCTGCATCTATATCCCAGTCTGTTTTTATTTTTTAGTCTGCGTTTATTCTTCGGTCTGTTTCTACTTTCTAGTTTATTTTAATTTTATAGTTTATTTTTATTTTCTAGTCTGTTTTTATATCCTAGTCTATTTCTGCTTTTTAGTTTATATTTATATTCCAGTCTGTTTTTATTTTTTAATCTGTATTTACTCTCCGGTCTGTTTCTATTTTTTAATCTGTTTTTATTTTTTAGTCTGTTTTAATTTTATAGTCTGTTTCTATCTTCTAGTTTATTTCTATTTTTTAGTTTGTTTTTATTTTTTAGTTTATACTACCTCTGCAACTTATTAAATAAGAATATATTAAAAATTACTATATTTATATAAATATTATAATAATAATTAGTAATCTGGTTGCTGCAGGCGTCTGCTCTATTATTCGATCTTAATAATTAAAATATATAATATATAACTATACAGAAATATACCAGAATAAATAAAAACAAATCTTAAGTTTTTAAGTAAAGAAAATAATCTAAGAAATAGATAATTTTTTAATCTACTGGAATATACTATAAAAAAGCTATAATAATACTAATTAAAACTAGTCTTTAGTACTTTTTAGATTATATATTTAATTACGGTTACTGTTAAACAGATTATAAAAATTAAATATTTATATAATTATATATTAAATATAACTTATACAGCAGTTATATAGATAAAAAATTAAAAATAGTTATAAATACTAGCTTAAAATCTATACTTAAATTAAATAAGTACTAGTTAAAACTAGTCTTTTTTAGTACTATTTTAAAGTTCGAATATCCAAGCTATAATAATTTAAAAAAGAAAATCGTTAACTGTAAGATATTAAACAGATAAATATTATTTATTATAAAAAAATAATTCTATTTAATTTTTTATTTAAAACTAATTATTCTATTATAGTTTATCTATATTTTATTAATATATTTTCTTATCTCAGAGATACTCGGATTCCAAAATAATACTAAATATATTAATACTACCTAAAAATATAATAGTAATATTTAGAGCTGGTAATATAAATCTAATTAAAATAGAATTATTTATTACAGCTTTTTAAATAAGAATATAATTTATATATATCGGAAAAATACTTCTAAATAATTAAAAATACTAAAGCTAATAATAATATTAAATATAAGTTTATCCGCGCCTATATCTAAATTATCTACTAATATTATTATTATTACAGGCGAGTTTCTTTTCTATTAATATTTTAATAAAAACAAAGTTCTTCAAAATAATTTAAGTTCTTAAAATTAGATTAAATAATTATTAAGCAACTGACAGCTCTTTTTTTTTATTAAAATTCTTTATTAAGAATTACAGCCACTTTTATATATATTAATTTACCAGCTGTTTAAAAAAATATATTATAGAAGTTTTATACTAAACCGCAGTATCTTAACTGTTAGAGATAATTCTAATATAATAATAATTAGCTTATATAATACAGATAATAAATATAAGTACTTTAATTTATTTAAGAATCTTTTTATTATATATATGAATATAGTATAAATAAATAAGATCTTTTAAAACTTTTTATTAATCTATTTTTAATTACTTTCTTTTATAGTATTTCTATATAGTACAGCAGCTTTGGCTAGACTGCTATTAACCAGAATAAATAATTCCTAATATATAAGTTTTTTTAATATTATAAAAAAAGTAAATTCTAAGAGTTTTAGAGTATTTATTATTTTAGGCGGTAGTATATCTTTTAAAATACTAAGTAATATAAAAATATTCTAAAATATTAATTAAAAATCTTATTCTAAGATTATTTAAAATCCGGATAAGTTTTATAAACAACTAAAATCTGTACTAGAATCTGCTTTAAGCCTAATATTTAACAAGTATATTATATACGTATTTCTATTATAATATAAGTTTATAAAAAAAAAATAATTAAACTATAAAGAAATTCTATAGATTCTAAACACGCAAAGACACCTTATTATTAGAAGTTTATATTAAATTCTTAAGTTTATTTAGACCTACTAAAAAAAAAATATAGCCTATAGTTTACTTTTTATTAATATTTTTATTTTATAGTTTAATATAGAGACTGCAGTAAGATATCTTAACAACCTCAAAACCGATCTTATTTTAAATTCTTTTACTAATAGAATAAAATATTTTTTATTTTATTTGAACTACGCTGTGCTCTCTAATAATCCAGACAGATTCGGCTTGTATTTTAAAAAAGGCCGAAAAATAAGCTATTTAATTAATTTAATTATCTAGTATCTAAAGAATAGTCTCTTTAAGAAATACAGTATAGATATTTAGCATAAAACAATTTATAAGTACTGATAAAAAAAGTTTTATTTATAACAGCTTATAAATATATTTAGTTTTAGTTTTCTTCTAGCTACCGACGCTGCTGTAATTAAGAAATTATAAGTAAACTATTTAGTTAATATCTTAATTATTAATATAAGTCTGAGAATAATTTATATTTTTATTAATAATTAAATAAATACTTTTATTATCTGTACTTTTTATATCTGTTTTATAATTCTGGAATATTTCTATTTTTTAGAGTCGGTGTTCAGAAATTTGGTTTTCAGAAAAAGAATACTCGATATTATAAAAATAAATATTTAAAATTTGCTAACTTAGCTACGGTATAGCTCGCAGCTTAATTTAATACAGTTATAACTAGCCGAAATATAAAAAAAAAATAAGATATAATATAACAACTAATATTCTGGCTATTTTTAGATAATACTTAACTCTAAAAAACAAATTTTACTAAAAATAAAAGAGCTTCTTGAAAAATATTATAAAGTATAAACAGATTTTACTTACTATAATTAATCTGGTTCTATAAAAAAATTTAACAGATATAATATATATATATACTATTAGAACTCTTATTTACTTAAAAAAATATCTATTATTCTGTATCTTTCTCCCGTCCGAGATTTGTAAAAAACTATCTTACTGGATATATAACTTTTAAAATCTTATATAAAATATAATCTATTTTTATATCTTTTTTTACTTAATATTGCTGTAATAGTAAACTTAATCTTATTTAAATAAGTTTTCTAAATTATATCTACTTTTAACTAGCTAATAATCTTTTTTATACTTACTATCTATATATACTCTGATATAGTAATTAATTAGCTACTTATATATTAAAAAATATCTATTATAAATTAAATAAATAGCCTGCTGTAAATATACTGGTGTCTACTAGTATTTAAAATAGCTTATAATACTATAAAAATAGAAATAAAATATCTGTAAATATTAGATATATATTTTATATATTGTAAAGTTTTATATCCTATAGTTTTTTACCGGATTTTTACTCCACATAAAAATAATACAGTATATAATATTCTGTTTATTATAAAAAGTTATAGGCATATTTTAAATTCCGTTTAATTAATTAATATCTAAGAAAGATTAATAAAAAAATAAAAAGAAATATTTAATAGTATAATCCGGGTATATATTTATACCGATAAAATAAAAAAGTATTTATTTAATAATATATCTTAATAAAGTACCTATCCGGTACCATATCTTAATAAATAAGTACTTTAGATTAGTATCTAAATAAATAAAAAGTATACCAGAAAATTCTAGAATCTATATTTTTTATATTTACTATACTTAAAAGACTTCTACCCTCCGGTCTTCTTAATTTTAATTTATAATATAAATTATCAGCTATTTATACAGAAAATATTTACAGTTTAACTCTATATTTAATAATTGAGACGCTAAATTTCTAAAAAATATTAATTAATAGTAATAATAGATCTAGGTCCAGTTATTCTATTTTTTTGTTTTTTATATACTAACTAAGCAATTATACCGAAGTTTTATTAAGTATCCAGAAAAAAAACTATTATTATTCTACTAGTAAATATATAGTTTATTCTTAAAAGTATATAATAAATTAATAAAATAAGCCACAAAAGTTGCCGACTAATAAATATAATAAATAAGACTTTTTATTTATAGCTGGTTAGATTAGTACTTAAAAAACCGTATTTTTAAATTAGATTATTTCTATATACTCTAATTATTAGTAGACTGTTAATTATAATTTTACCGGTTGGCCTTTTTATATTTTCTTTTTATTATCTACTGTTTATCTGCTGTACTATATAGATATTAGTTTTAAAGTACTTAATACTCTTTTAAATATTATAATTTCTAAGAATCTAGTAATATCTATTACTTCCATATACTAATAAAAAAAGTATAATTTTTTATTATAAAAATAGTACAGTCGCTTATCGGATATATTATAAGAATAATCTAATTAAATATATCTTTATAAGTATAATAATATTTATCTCTTTTTTATCTTTTGGTAATCTAAATATATTTTTAATTCTAGTATACAAAAAAATAAGCAATCCTATTTTTAGCTAAATAATTAAAAACTAATTTTATAAATATAAAAAGTCATCTAAAGTTTTAGTTAGATAAATAAATTTTAGATAATTTCTAAAGACTATATAAAATATTAAATAACTAGAATTAATATACTAATAGTAATAATATTTTAAAGTTTTTAAATATTTTTATATCCTCCTACTGCAGCACAGTCAGATTAATCTTAATTATTCTTAAATATAAATATTAGTTATTTATTCTAGTCTGAATATAAATAGTAAGTTAAATAGTACAAATACTACCGCCGGATATACTTAAAAAAATAAACCAAATTATATATATATATAGCTTTCTCTAAAAAAAGATCTGGCTTTTGTTTAGTAAATATATAAATAGTGCTTGGTAATATAAAATCTAGTAAAAAATATATAAAATATTTCCAAAACCCGCAAGTCTTACTGTTTTTACTATAATTCTAACTATTATTAAAATTTTTATAAATATTAGACTGATTTCACGGTACTATTTTTACTAATTATTTAATTAATAATTTATTAATTAATTAAGTATACTTACTATAATTTACTTAAATTATTCTTTTAATTATAGCTTAATAGCTATTACAACAGCTCGGCTGTACTTCTAGTTTTCTAATTAATCTAACCAGCAACTTATATTTTTAATATTAAAAAAATAGTCTGCTTACTAGTTTTAGCCTAAAGAAATATTCAGCAATTTAAAAACTATATAATACTAAAATTAACAGCTAATACTTTAAATTATATATATTAATCCTGCTTTTTTATTGTTAATATTCGGTTAATATTAGAGTATTAATATTTTAAGCTTAATTTCTAGTTAAATTTAAAAAAAGTTATAACCAAAATCAGAAATTATCTTAATTTCCTATATAAATACGCCGCAGCAGTAGTA